GAATGAAAACAAAATCCATGAATAAATTGAAGGTTGTAGCCCATAGACTTGACATTAAGCATTAGTTATATGTACTTGGAGCATTCTATGAAATCTTAAATTAACTGACTGCGTTTATTAAGGCATCATGAAAGCATAAATTTATTACTCTTCCTGGTCCATATTAATTGTCGCTGAGGAGTACTCAAAAGATTGATGAACAACTCAGTTGGCAATAATCTTGAGGGTTTAGCAATATCCATCACATCGTTAGAATATTAGACAGATATACAGCCCGCCTACCAAAATATTCCAAGCAAGCAATTTCTCCACATTATTTGAAAATTTTCAAGCATGATGAAAACAACTATTTCCATATCAAATTATCAATGTCGATTACACAAAGACACACACATGTGCCCATAGCTAGGTATTCGATCTGACAAACCGATCAATCATTCGGTCACTAGTAGTTTACGACGGATCGGTAGGTCCTTCCGGCCTGCCATCCGGAGGGAATGACATTGCTGGCGATGAGCTGCTTGCCGGAGCCGAAGGTGAGGCCGATAGATATGGGGGCCTGTAGGGTGGACCTGGACTTGTACTTCCACACTGCACCCGACAACTCCTGCATCGACGCCCATCCACCGCCGCGCTGCTGAAGGTCGACCGCTGACAGGTCGCCGTCACCGGCCTCGTACTCTATGAGCACTGCGAGGTAGTTCGGATTGGAGCGGGCATCCACCTTGAAAACGATGTTCAGCCCATGCCAGTTGCACGGAACCCTGCCAGTGAAGAAATCAAATAGATACAATTGATGGATGGAACATGCACGGAGCACCGTGCACTTGGCGTGAGAGCTGTGTGAACTAGCTAGCAAGAGCTTACCGGTTGTACCGCACTCTAATGTTGCCAGCTTTGCGGAGGTTGTCGGCCTGGCCGGGCTTTGCCATGGCGCCGAACGCTTTCCCGCTGAGGTCGAAGTGGGCAGCCTCGGCCAGGCACGGCCCGCCACGGCACTCGTCTGTGACGACCACGGTCACCGGAAACCCGAAGCAAGCGGCATTGCCGGTGCATCTCACCTGGTAGCAAGCGCCGCAGCCCTTGCCGTTCTTGAAGATGGAGGGGGCGCCCGCCGTGATCATGGCGGAGAACGGAGGCTTCTCCACGTCGTGCTGGTATCCGCATGCACCACCTGCAGCATGCCCATGCACGCGTCAGTACAAATAAACAACTATATACGCGTGAAAAAGTCTATTTTAAATTTTAAATTCGTAGACGTTCAGCGAAACGAATCCTCAAATTGAAATTCCGGTCGATTGCACCCTGAACTATGCAATCTACCGGGATTTGTCTAGCTGGTGGGCCAAAAAGCACCCGTCCTCCACCCTGGACCAAACCATTTTTGTTTTTGTTTGCTCAAAAATGTTTTCTTTATTTTTCTGTCGCTCTTTGCGGCAGAATTGCGGACGCGCTTGACAAGTTTCGAAACCAGGATTTGCAGCTATAGAAGAGGTGGTACTACCACTTGAGCTAGCTAGCAAATCTGCTTATATAGCAGCACAAAACGATAAGAATCATCTCCAGATTCGAATATTTTTAAAATTTTGGGCACAAAATATTTTTTGGAAAAAAAGATGAGTGTTTTATGAAAAGCAACCACTTGTCAAATTTGTGAACAAATTTACCAAACTAAATTTGGAAAATTCAACCAGACTTTTGGAACATGCACATTTGAATTTTTTGAATTTCCGGAACAAAACTAGAACACACGAACATTTTTTAATTTGTGAACAATATTTGAAACAGAAGCATTTTTTGAAATTCCAAACATTTCTTTAAAAAGTTATAAAAATATAGAACAAAAACATTCTGAACAAAATTTCAAAACAAGGAACTCTTTTTTCATGGAAGTTTTCGAATCCGCGAACTTTTTAAAATCCACGAACACGCGACCCATCAAGCCACACCGTGTGTTTCTTTAAAACGAAAAAACAAAGCGGGCCAGCCCAGCAGGAGCAGGGTGTAGCGCCCTTTGTGAATTTCTATTTCTTAATGAAAGAAAACAAAAGCAGGCCGGCCCAGCGGGGTGCGGGTGTGCGCCCTCAGTGAAACCCCGCCAATCCTGGTCATCAAAACGACTCGAAGGTTCAATTTAGACCGGAATTGCATAGTTTAGCGTGCAATTGAACATGATTTTAACTTTGGGGTTAGTTTCACCGAAGGTCTAGGAGTTCAGAATTTAAAATAGACTTTTGCCATATACGCGTCCATCATCAAGGTCTGCATGCATGAGGCATCAACTCATTGTTCATATATATATTTTTTTGAGGGGCGCATCGTTCATTTTATATAGGACTATAAATATGTGTGTACAACTACGTACCGTCGGTTCCTGCGCCTTCGGGGGGAACGTACCACGTCGCGCCGCCGTCGGACCAACCGGAGACGCTGCACGGATGGAGGATGAGGAGGCAGCTGATGGCTAGAGCCGCTAAAGCGGCGAAGGAAGGAGAAGCCATGCTCACACTGGACAATATACGATTGCTCCGCGTACGCGAGAGGAAGGAGAGAACGAACTGGAGACAGATCGGGTGATGGTGTGTGATAGCAAGCGTAGTCTCTCGCCGTGTACTTTGATTTATAGGCAGCAGAGAGATAGAGAGATCGCACGCTGATTAAATATGGATTTGAGGGGATATTTCTTTATTTAATGAGTGTATTAGTAAAGATTTTGGGACTGTCTATCCATTAGGCTGATCAAAATAAGAAGTATTATCATATGAGCATAGAGCTATAGGGATATCGCAGGCTGATTAAATACGGATTTGAAGGGATTATTTTTACTTAATGTGGGTGTAACTGATTTTCATTTCAGTTCAAGTCGAATGTTCTATCTTGTAGTTGGTTGACATATATATG